TGTGAGAGATTGTTTGTTGAAAGCAGATTTTATTCACTCGGTAAACTGTCTTTAACTTTAGTCATGCCAACTCCGGAAGGTCGGTAGCTCCTTAGGCGGAACATAGGTTTCCGTTTTGTCCCCCCTCCCGAGACATACGGTGCACGCAAATCCCTGCAGAGCAGAAAACGAATTTATTTGTCAGTAAACACCGTGTTGGCCATTTTTGAAAGCTAGTGGTTCGGCAGCATAGTGACGTGGGAATGAGCATTTCCCTAATTACACTCAAAAAGTAGTAGGCTGTCGGTGGCATTTGTTTGCCCCATTTAATGGCGCACAAACAAATAAAATTTCTACATTTATTATGTGAGAAAAATTGTCTTCCCAGAATTTACCAACTATGGGGAGTGGGCGTTCCCATTGTTAGAAAGCGAATGAAATTTGACCGAAATGAACTACCACTGCCACCACTACAGCAAGAGAAAGGCAAATATTACTAAGGATAACTTTCTACTTCAGTCACGCCAAGCTGATCTCCCTATACAAAAGCGCCTAAGAGACTGTATTAACAACTGCTACATCAGTTTAATCTTGCGCTATTGATAACGCAGTGAAAGCCTACAGTCTTTCGGTGAGCTGTGATAAACCCACAAAGTTTTATTTTTGCAACTCACTTTCATCTGAAAAATACTGTTTCATTCCTCCCCTCAGTTCGAGCACAATTCGTCAACGCGGTTCGCAAAATTAACATTGATGCCATCCAGAATCAGACGGTTCACATGTCTTGCGAGGTTACTGGAGACCCACCGCCGAAAGTCACTTGGTTCAAGCGCGATGTCGAGCTCTTCCCAATGGGTTCCTTCTTGCAACCTGGAGCATCCGCGGGCGCATTCTCAAGTCGTTTTCCCCACATAATGCCCCTGCAGGGTGAACAGATCTTGCAGCTGACTAACGTTCAGAGGGAAGACGCCGGAGACTATACCTGCATGGCGACCAACGGTGGCGATGCCATTGAAAAGAAGTTTAATCTCTCAGTAATCCGTACGTTCTTGAAGGATATAATTTATTTAAAGCCTAAATGGTTACTTAAACGTTTAAAGTAGTACTTGTCTTACCATAAACTGCCGTTGATGTTTTAGTTCCTCCGGTTATACTGAAGCCTGAGGGCACTCCCGAAGCTCACATGACGCGCGAGCATGTGCCCGTTACATTCTATTGTCTGATTCGCGACTACAACAGCACCAAGCCGGATATAGTGTGGACAAAGGACGGCTCACCAATTCTCGTCTCAGAGGAAAGTGACTATTTTGTTGTGCAGGATGAGGGTCAATCGTTGACAGTGATCCGTCCCACCTCCAGTGAAAGTGGCATGTTCCGTTGTGAGGTGCGCAATAAGGCAGGCACCGACAGTCATCAATTCAGACTGACAGTCATTGGTAAGATTACTCTCTATAGAGTAAACTAATACATCTACTTAAATGAACCTCAGTAGATCGTATTCTACAAATACAACTGATGTACCGTTTTAGCTCGTCCGAGGTTCCCTACGGACTTCATTCGATATCGACAGAAGCTTGTGCAGCAAATGGGCACTCAAGTGCGGCTGGAATGCCCTGCCACCGGGTCTCCGCCGCCAGTTATCACCTGGTATTACAATGGCTCCCCAGTTCTGCCCTACACAGCACCCTCTCACTACACCTTCGACGCAGACAACAAACTGCTCTACTTTATCACCGGTCAAAAGGATGCCGGCGAGTACCGATGCGTTGCACACAGCGAGGCAGGCAATATTTCTAAGACCTACGAGCTGGAAGTTATCAGTAAGTTCTCCTACTGACCATCGTCCGAGGGCACTGTCAAGCACAGTCCGTTTGCACAAGTGTTATGTGAATCTGCCAGTTGTCCTCTAAGTAGCCGTTTTATTAGCCTACTGTTAGACCAAACGATGCTGCTTTGCGTTTTGCAGAATTTAGCATTTCCTCAGTGCTTAATGTAATCAGTAAAATGCGCATTCACAGGTAGCAGTTTGTAACAGCTTAGTGGACGGTTTTTCAGAGAAAAGGCTCTTCAAACGTCAAAAAACGAGACGCTGACACTTAGTTAACGCAATTGACTGACAAGGTGAGAATCCATACACTTTTGGCGCAGATCCAACGGCGATGGGGTCCTACGTCGTGAAGATGACATATGAATGTCGGTCAACATACTTTGATTGGTCTTCCAGCAAGTGATTAGAGATCGCGAGCGAGAATACCATGAGGAAATCGTGAACACTTCACGAAATTGGTAAAGACAGTAACCCAGAAATATTCCGGGGTTCGGTGTTGGAAGCGGAGCGACAACCTGAAGGTCGTATTTGATAAAAACAAGAGACCGAAGTACGAGAGCTTTGTATAATCCCCGGTAACCGCTTTCAGACTCATTCTCCATCGAAATAACTTGGTCGACCCCTTTCGAATTCACCGCAGGAATATTTTGACGTGAAATGATAAACTCTATAATTTTTCCGCCTAAAACCACGGCCGGAGTAAGGAGCGATCTAATCAGATAGCGTTGACGTCAACCTACTTCATTAACACAGGCAAATGAGGGACCACCCAAACGGCGCTGGTACTACGATGAAGATATTCATTGTTGATAAGAGAGGACCAAGTCAAGCGCATTGTTTTACGAACCAAATGACCAAAAGAATACGTGGGTGATTCTACTAACGCCCTTTTCGCATTTAGTTTACGGACTGCGAGACTCTGTGAAAAGCCATTGCTTCGTCCTCTGGTCATGTCAGATCGGCAAATGCGCCCACTGCCCCCTCCGATTACTACTAGTCCTTACTGAGGGGCACAAAGTAAGACACTAGCCATGAATCACACCAAACCTTCTGGGTTATTGAAGATGTAGTGGTCTAAGTAGTGGGTGTACTCGGATCACTACTATCATCAGGCCGAATCCCAGGTTGGAAGTTATAAGGCAGAAGTCACCAGAAGGAGTGGTTTATTGTGCACAGAACTCCCTATTGCTGTTTCAGGCAGTACAGGCCACTGGCAAAGCCAGGGCTAGTGTTGACTGCGTCCAGCCAGGCCTGAGAGAGTTGACTGTGTGTTGTATGGGGTGATGAGAGCTGCTTTTACATGACTGTGAAGTGAGTTCAAGTGTTGCCATTGGTGTGTTGCAATTGCCTGAACGGATTTCGCCTGTAGAGGACTTTGCTGCATAGACCGAGGGGTGGTGTATTCAAGTGGCACTTAGACAGGCGTGCTTATTTGTACGCGCATGGATGCGCGGGTGCGGAGCACGTGTGTGAGTGAGTGAATATCGGTCAAGTGGTCTTCAGGTCAGCATGCGTGAACAGCCGCGTA